TGCTCTTGAGTCATCACAAAACAAAGATCCTGATAAGTTGTCATTTAGAAAACAAGATACACTTCTGCTTTTAATTTCTGTGACTTAAAATATGCTGAGCATTTGATCATTTTATTTTTAAATTTGCTTTCATTATAATCTCCTTTCTCTTGGGGTTTCTTGTTGGGGAAGTCAGGAGGTCAAGCTCCTGGAATTCCCTCAGAGTGCCCTGTGAGAACAGTATGGAGAGGCACGAACAAAGGATAAAAACAGGAATAAGTTCCTTGGGCACTGCACATTTTTAGTTCCTGCTGATTTTAATGGGGGTTCTCTGAGTTGATTCGGTAGCAGGGTGTGAGTACAGTGCACTGGACTCCACTGTGAGGGGCGGGCTGGGGCTTTGGGGTTCTTTCAGATTATTTATTATTGCTCAGCGGTGCTGAGGCTGGCGAGGCAGGCTCTGCTCCCTTTCCCCAGGCTGTGGGTGGAGCTGCCGTGGGTCCGTGCACGCCCAGCTGCCCGTGTCTGGTGGCTCCTGGGCACGGGGCTTGTGGTGCCTTTGCTCCCTGTGTGCAGCCAGGAGTGACTGGCTGAGGCCCCGAGGAATAGCAACTGAAACACGCTGGGTTTTCAGACTGTAGTGCCAGCAGGGCTTTCCCATGTCATGCTGAGATGTGTTCATAGAGCAGCTCCCTGTTCCCTTGTGCTACTGCAGCTGAGCAGCTCCCCTGGCTGTAATGAACTTATCAGATAGGGATAATGAAATACTTCATGTGTTCAGTCATCGGTATTGTTTCTAGTCATAAAGCAATTCCTTTACCAGAGAGAAGAGCAAGGTAGGTGCATCGTTTGCCACCTGCGCTGAGACTTGGGCTGCATTTGCCATTCACTCCTGGAATTGTTGAGCTGTGGATACCCACATTTTTGTAATAAGTGATCGGTTTTCTTCATCTTGCATGTTATATAAACTGGTCTAAATCAGCAACCAATAAATTATGGCAACAGAAGCTGGTGTGCAAGACAGTATTTGAATGCCTGTTCTTTTACTGAGTCTGGAGCTTGCTGCTTGATACAGTGTGGACAAAAACCCGCTTACCCGAGTGCAGTAAACGTACCCCAAGAACTGGCATGAGCTTTTTTTTCCCTTTGTAAACAAAATCCCCACTAATTAACTTAAAAGCATGATTTTTTTCTAATTTGGAGGGACCACCTCAGCTGCCCAGTGAAATGTGCTGGAGAGAATCAATGTGGTGCTGACTAAGGGAGCAGCCTGGACTTCTGGCACCAGGTAAAGACTTTACAAAATACTTTCCTTTTAGTGCCTGAAGTGATGGGAAGGCAGGAGTGTCAGGAAAACATCCCTTGTTTGGGATGAGTTCTCAGTCCTTAAACCTGACAGGGCTGAGCTGCTTTATAAAGGTTAAAGGCCTCCTTATCAGGGGCGCTGCTAGAGGAAGGCCTGAGCACTTAAGAAGTGCTCATGGAAGAGGCAGATCAGATAAGGAGCTTAAAAGGCGACCAGATGAAAGATGCTGTGGAACTTACCAGAGACTGCTGTGCAATTCCCTCACAGCTGGTGGAGAGAGGTGGGCTGGGATCTGGGAAAGATGCAGCAGCTGTTTGGAACACAGGAGAACCTGCATTTATTTCCCTGCACAGGGAAAACAAGCCTGCAGAAGAGAAAAAATGTGTAATCAGAACTTGGATCTCATCCTCACTTTCATTTTCCTTCACAGTATCTCCAGAAAGTGAGATTGGTAATTGGATTAGGAACTGGTATACGGGGCTGGCAGTACTGGTTTCAGGACCTTTCAGCCATGTCCCTGGCAGCTTTGGGATGACTGTACTTTGGCTTTGATTAGATTACCACTCCTGACATGACTATTTTATGTTTACCTGTGATAAAGTTTTCCTGGCCCTGCTTTGCAGGGCACTTTTGAGGAGCACGTGGTGCTGCCAGCCTTTGGCACCGAGGCTGGCTCTGCCCTCGGCCTGCTGAGACGTGGGATGCAGGCCACCCACATGTGCAGGGTAAGTGCTGTGGTGTTTGTTCCTCTGTGTTTCAATTGCAGTATCCTTATCATAGAATCATCAAGTCCAACCACCAACTTAGCACTACCTCTGGAATTCCTAAACCACTAAACCACATCATCAGGTGCCAGATCCAGATGCTTTTTAAACACCTCCAGGGATGGTGACTCCACCATCTCCCTGGGCAGCCTTTTCCAGTGCCTGACTTCCAGTGCCTCAGTTTCTACTGGGAATGGAGGTTACCAGCTGAGCTCCGTGCTCCTGCACACTTGTGCCTGAGGGGTGCAGAGCCGAACTCTCGTCTCTCATGCGGCGCCCACTGAGAAAGCCCCCTGCATTTTTTACAATAACATTTTAAATCTCATTTTAGAAGATTTTGCAGTTTTAAAAAGTTTTGCAATTTATAGCGTCACTTCAACCCAGGGATCACTCGCCTTTATTCCGTAGGACTCCACAGC